CACATTGCGTTCAGTGCTAGATTAAATTTCTGATCAGCCAAACAACAACATTACACTCCATATCTCGGAGATGAGCAGGGCGTGGCTACTTTCCCTGTCTTAGCATAGTGTGGAATGCGTTTTCCATGGAATATCTACATTCGAGACAACTGTGAGCGTGTGCTGAACAAAGGGATGAACATAATTGTGCCGAAAGGGCAATATCCCTCCCCCACAACGCGAAATGAATAGGCTTGGCCTGGAGATGTGTGCCATTCAAGGGTAATATAGGACCAAGGAAGATGAAATTCGAGGGAAGCTGAGAAGTCCTCCAGAAAGCCGTATAAAGGGCACTGGAGGGAGCCTCAAAGATAAACCGTGCGCTCACGAGGACGGTGCGAGGTGAATGGGTTCGCAGTTGCATTATCGTGCCACTTCCTCCGCTCAAAAGTGCACGGGAACGAGGCTGGAGGGTACAGGTACCCGAGCATCCATGAGCCTCCTGCACTATCCTCAACAAGCAGCAATTGCGTCACACCAATGTCCCTCAGCGAAACACGCACTTAGCGGTAGAGAACAACAAAAAGTGAGAGAGCGCAGACAAATAGCACATTTGGCTATGGTTAGGCATGTGGATGGACGTGCGGCAGCGCAGAGTATGCAGACGGTACTTGAATAGCCTAGTACCCTACAGCGTTGTCCATGCCCACTTTTGATCCAAGGAAAGATCTGGTACTGCGGCTGCGGACCGATTCTCCCCATACACGGTGAGGACCTGATCCCTGGAGCTGGTGTATGAGCTCAGGAACTTCAAGCCCCCTTATGCTTCGGCTTGAGGGGATACCCTCGCAAAGCGGGAGAAGTTCCGAAAAGTTCTCAAATCATGCCCATTATCAGCATGTGAAGGTGACAACAGGACATGTTGTGAGCTTCCTTGAATGTGGTGTTATCGTTGCTACTCACCGTCTAGGAAGAAAGAGAGGTAAAAGGGGTCGACGGTCAGCAGTCACTCCTCATAGATGCGCCCTGCATTTGAATTCCACCAGCATTCCAGGAATCATGGACTGCAATGTGCCTCGAATTTTGAATGCAATTTGGCCTGTACAAAAACATGCCGAGCTAGCGGATGCACTAGTCCATGTTGTTAGGCTTCCAGACGAGCGCGTCACCGATCACAACCTCCTATTATGAACCCTCAATTGGGATCCGATCCGAGATGAACTTCATATGAGACCTTGTGCACGAATTCTCCGGAACAGCGGCACCACTCATCATTGCTCCATCTTGGCTCAGTCAACGGATATCATGGAAAGAGAGCGGTGTGAAGAATCATGAGGACATGGTTATTGGCTGTCAGCCCTCTAAACGGGGCAGATGTCAACCAGACGATCTCTCGCTGCGAGGGTCCAGGGCTAATTTCACGGGGCATCTACCAGTCCAGCAGTTGAAGGGGAAGGTAAAGGAGGAGGGATCAGAGAAGGAAGGAAGAAAAAGAAGGAAGGAGGGAGAAAAAAGGAAGGAGGGGAGAAGCTTTCCGGTTGACATGTGCCCTGAGACGGTCTAAACGTCAAGCTTGCGAAACTGGACAGCAATACATGCCCTCATTGTTTCCGGGACAATTTTAGATCTGAACTCATGAGCATTCCAACAGTTAGGCTAGTGTGGTTGATAATCGACGCTACGGCTACCCGCCAGCAACACGTGACGAAAGTAGCAGTCTTGTTCGCTGCCTGATGATAGGGCGTGTCAAGAGGAATGGCTTTGACACTACGCCAGTCCATTTTTCTCTTTTTTTTTACTTTCGGCAAGCGACAGACTGTATCATATCGTTTGTATCGGTCGTTCCTCCGAAAGTTGTTATCACTTACGCATTTCAACAACTGCTGGAGAACGAGCGGTCGGTAAGCCCCTTCAACAGCAGCGAACAGGACTTTAACTGAATCTCAACAATTACTTAAAGCTGGCGCCCTTCTCATGTTCCCTTCTGCTTTTTCTAATGGAATAAACATTTTGTGGGAATTGCTGTGAATTTTCGTAAAAAATTAGTGGTTTCCCGCACTACTGAATTCTGCAAAGCTATCCCTGGAACATGGAAAAATTGCATGAAAACTGGGGACATTTAGTGTGGAAGGGGGTAGGGTGGGGAGGACGAGCTGTCAAGAGCGTAGGTAGTGCCTGCACTGTGAAGAAAAACGAGCTTAGTTGCTACCAAGGGGAAAACTTCCCCGCAAAAATGGTGCTGCGTCCGGTTCGCGGTTTGACGATAGACCTAGTCCCCAAAAAATGACTGGAAATCGGCTCGAGCATGCTGTTGGAATGAATTATAGGAATTTCGTGCCTAGTTTAGAATCCAAAATTCAACAGCGCTAAAATTACACTGTTATTCGCATCTGATGAGGGCGCGCCAGGGCGGCTGGGTTCGAGGCGGCGCCCGTTTTCCTCTGCTGTCGCTTGCCCTCCTCAGCGATCCGTTAAAAAGGGGATGGCGCCGCGCCAAACCCACCCACCCGCCTCCTTAACTTTGCTCCAGCATTTGCATCGAACAAGACTGCATAAATCTGATTCAACAAACTTTGTGCAACCGCTGAATATTTGAATATTCGAATGGACAATATTAGTTTTCTAAACAACAACGGTGGTCCGATTGAAATACTCATCAAAAGTTTATAATATGCCTCACAGGAACGGGTTAGGAGATCCGAGTTGCGGTGACACGCGGAAATCAATTCATCACGCGCGGTTCCCCAATCAGTTGGCACCTACCTAGTGCACCACTTTTGCGTTAGATAATCTTTGTGCTGACGCAAGGGCAGTGCCTGCCGTGTCACTTGCAGTACAGTTGTTATCGCTGAAGTCAGTCGGGGATGGCCATAGGGCGGAAAGTGGGTTTTGAAGTGACCAGTGCTCAGGGAATGACGAGCCCCTTCCTCACCATTCGCTGAGCGCCCGAAGCCACAACGATCGACGGAACACGGGCTAGCGCTTCGCCAAAACCCACTCCCCGTTGACACTCCCCGGCTGAACTGCGGTGACAACGACTGTGAATTTCAGCTACCAGCTCCCTTTGCGACGAGGTTCCCGACCTCTCTGATCTGGTCTCAGGACACCTGCATTACAGATTTTATGAACAATTGTGCTGTTCTAGTCACAGCGCTGCCAGCAGAACCTCTTGGCCTATATCTCTCAGTTCACCACAGTCGTTAATAAAAGTTCTTGAAGGTAAAATGGTTTTCGTTTCAGGAGAAACATGCAGTGGTGATGCTGACGAAGCGCTCAAGACTATGGAGAAACGAAAACCTAACTTCATGCGATTCGGCAGAAGTACGTATTTGCGCTCGGAAAAAACCTCTGCTAATACTGCTAGAAATTTCCCATTTAGGTGTGTCGTTTGGAAAGAAAGGTTCCGATCCAAATTTCCTCCGATTCGGCCGAAACCAACCGAATTTCCTGAGATTCGGCAAAGCCGCCGGTGATCCTAACTTCCTTCGCTTCGGT